CATTTTATGGACGACCGTTTCGTGAACCTAGGAGAGGAGGTAATTCTGACTTTGCTATGACAATCTGGCGCTTCTGAATCAGCTACTGTAAGTATGTTTTGTTATTAGTTTAAGTATTTGCTATTGACTGTTCAAATGCGTTTCAGTGACTGTTCAGTTTTGCGCATCGTGTGTGTGTGTGTGTGTGAGAAAGAGAGCGAGAGAGAGAGTCACATCACAGTAGAGTCAGCTGTCTTAACCGTGGCTTGTGTACTGCAAACAAATACCAGCTTCATCACTGTGTCTGTCACGTGACTCTGTTCCCCTTTCGGGCTTGAACTGATGGTAAAACGAATTACATTATTTACTGTCTTTACATTTATTTTTAAAGATTAAGCTCGCGATTATGGTAAGGGGCGGTACATTTCCGACGAGTGCTTGTGGTGTTCGGCCAATCTCAATGGACTGGGTCAGCTGGCCAATCAGAGCAGACTGCACTTGTCGGAAGGAGGGACTTTGTAGAAAACTACGTGTTTGAGAGAGGCGGGGCATAGAGGACCTACAATAATATACAGTATTTGAAAAAAAAAGTGTTTTTTGAACGTTAAAGCATGTCAACATATTCTGTTACACCAAATACACAAAATAATGATCTTTAAAAAAGCATCATATGACCCCTTTAAGAAGATCTGTATCAGCGATCGGTATCGGCAGATACTGCTTCCTGTGATCGGCGATCAGTGATCGGCCTCAAAAATCCTGATCCGAGCACCCCTACAAAATATTGCATTGCTTCTTACATGTCTTGCAACATTTTCAAAGTGAAATGTCCAAGTAAATGTGTTCAGTTTTATCTAAACCAGGAGTCGCCAACCTATGGCATGCGTGCCAACTCGGAGGGCACAGTGGTTAACCAGAAAAATTCAAAATGGCACTTCATGCCCAAAAGGTTGCCGACCCCTGATTTAAACAGATGAACATGAATCTGGCAACATTTTATCACACTGGTTGTTGTATGTATCATGACGGTTCGGAAATGTAATGTCCAGTTAGTGGCACTTAAAGGTTAATCAGGTTTAAAAATAACGTACCACCAACACCTGTACCAGGTGAGCAAATGAGCAAGTTTACAACATCAGAAAAGCCATACATGTGGAGTTTGTTATATGATGCAAACATCAAAATATACT